ACACACACACACACACACACACACACACACACACACACCTCGGGGCTGAGGTTCCTGTTAGCCACCTGCAGAGCCAATCAGATGACATGTCAGTCTGCAGCCGGTGGCAGCGTCCTGCTCTTTTCTCTCTGGTTTCCTGCAGGGAGGAAGCTGCAGACGATCAGAGCGCTGGAGGAGCAGATAAAACAGAAAGACAAAYAGTGACTTAAAGCTTCTGCCAAATTTAAAGACACGTTTGAAAAAGGAACTTGGTTTTAGTTTAGATTAAATAAAAATTAGAGTTTAGCACCTTTTTTTATCACTGAGAAGTTTGGTTTACAACTGACAGTTATAGAAAAACAAAAAGCACATGTATCCTTTAATGTTCTGGCCTATATTTCCTTAAAACGCCTTAAAAAGTGAACACTAATTGTAAATAAAATGCTGTTCTTGCACCCATTGATTCACAAGCCTGGTCTATTTTTGAAACTATTAATCAGATATTTTTTAACTTCAATAATCATGTTTTTATAACTGTAACTTGTACTTAGTTATTGGAGTTAAAGTACAATAAAATCCCAAGTTTTTTTCTCATTTTAATTTTTTAAAGACTTTAAAATGTCTTAGAACATGAAAGGAAGGAGGTATCAAGGAAATCAAAAATCCTTACCCTATTATCAGCAGTAAAAAAAGAAATGTTTCTTCACTAGCATTTGATGCATATTTGTTGTAACTTACTGAGCAAAAGTAATCCAAGATGGCGGCCRAAACTAAAGTATAACTTTTCTTTTATGACATTATCTGGCCAMATAAATCACTCTTCCTTGTCTTGAAGCACTCAAAACACTTGTTAACATTTAAATATATTTCCACTTTTTAGCTATCAATAAGAAAGCAAAACAAAACCTGTTTTCCATGTCTGCTGTTGTCGCCACCAGGGGGAGAAAACAGCCATCACATCAAAAGTTTCTCTAAGTTTAATTTCCTTTGGCCAAACAAGATCTCAACCCCACAAAACTACATATGGAATAAAAGATAACCTGATTGGCTACACAGCTGTGGTATCAGAATGAAGCTCAGAGCTGATTGGCCGATTCTACAGTCAATCAAAGGATGCAGTCTGTGGGCGGGTCATGTGGACCTTCCTCGACAATACTGCCTGTAGGAGASCATACAGAAACCCAGTTGGTCAAAAGAGGTGTCAATCAAAACAGGAGTACCTATAGAAACATTTTTACCCTCTTATGTGCCAGCCGTATGTAACAGAGGAAATTAACAAGTTAATCTTTGATTTTAAATAAACTCAAACTAAAGAAAAGTTATTTTTTGTGTGTTTTGGAGATCTGTGTGCGTTCACATGAGCTCTGAGTTTCCATCAGTTACACCACCAGCTGTGCTTCTCTGTTTATTCATTTATTTTGAGTCTAATTAGCACAAAATGGAGCTTCAGTTTGGCTCCGAGGTGGAGGGAGAGCGATGAAGGAGCTTCAAAAGAACTTAGATCCAGATGATGTTTATATATATA